AATATAAATTAATTTGACAAAAATAAATGTAAAGAAAACATTTTTGAATTTTTGAAAATTATTTCTACCTACAAAAGATAAAATTATGTAAAATTAATAAATGACATTTATTTATTTTATTTTTTATCAAATTAATTTTTATTATGTGTTTGGATGATGATCATATAATGGGTAGTTGTTTTTAGGGTTTTTTTGGGTGAGAACCTCCTTGCGTGAAAATCGGCCTCCCAGCAGTTTTGGAAAATTGTGTAGTCCGCTCGAGCGGACAAAGTGGCGCTCGAGCGGGGACCTCTTTTTCAGGAAATTTTGAGAGGTTGAATTACTTGATTTTACCATGTTATTGACATCATTTAGCATCTCATAATCATAAAATAGAGTAAAGAAAGGATAATATGGCATGTATTAAGTGATTTAATGATAATGTGTATGGGAGAAATGTGTTCTAATGTTGATAATTGCAGGTCAAGAGGCGAAGACTGTGCAACCGGTTTTGGAAACCCACTGTGAGTAACATTTCTGTAAAGATATGTTAGTATGATCTATGTTTAAAAGTGCTACGTTATGCTATGGTTTTGAAATGATAAATGTTTTCTGTGAACGAATGTCCAGTTTGCGAATCTAGTATGGCATCCATAGATAGTCCTAAGTGGACCAGTTTACGAGATCTCGGTATGTGTTTAATCGGTGTCCGGGACCGGTTACTCTAGTCGTTGGACGACAAATGTTATGTTCTATGGAGTATGCCATTATGTATGTTCTGATATGAGATGATTATGTTTATGAATGATTTATTTTATGGATATATGAAATGTGGAATTCGTTCACTACCCCTTTACTTTAATGTTACTTGCTGAGCTTTAGCTCATTGTTTGTATATATGTAATTATAGGTGAGCACTCTGGGAGTCAAGCCTAGGCGGAGTCCGAGCTGAGCCGCCGTTTTGAAGCCTACCCGGTGTTTTGGTGCCTCCGAGTTGGGGCTAGGCCCAGAAGGCCGTTAGGAAGCTTGGTTTTGGTTGTACATGAGGCGTGAGCCTATGTCTTGTATATGAATTTTGATTATATGTGATGTAATGTAGTGGGTAAATTAACATTTTTGGCATGTAATGTATGTTCATATAAATGCACAGCTCTTTGGACTATTAGTGTTTTGTTTTCGCTTCCGCAAGCCCTGGTTATGTATGTTTGTACAGAAAGGCCTGTGGTAATCTAGGATTACTGGCCGGTTACGATGCCAACCTTCTCGGGGCGGGTTTGGGTCGTGACAGTATCTGACCACGGCTCCAGTCCTCCTGAACCTGGAGAAGAACTGTTTTTGTATTTGGCAATTTCAGAACACGCAGTAAGTGCAGTGCTAATCCGAGAGGAAAATGGGGAGCAAAAGACTGTTTATTATGTAAGCAAAACCTTGGCCGATGCAGAAACAAGGTACCTACCACTAGAGAAATTAATGCTGGCCTTAATAATGGCTTCAAAGAAGCTGAACCATTACTTTCAAGCGCACAAGATTATAGTACTAACAGAGCACCCACTGAAGTCCTTGTTACAACAAAGAGACTTAACTGGAAGAATAGCAAGATGGGCAGTGGCCTTGGGCCAGTATAACCTGGAGTTTAGGCCAAAAACAGCAATTAAGGGACAAGTTTTGGCCGCTTCGTGGCTGAATTCACACTGGAATCCATCGAACATCGAGCTCCGTTGAGCTAAGATGAACGATGTCCAAGCAAACAAGGAGAAGCCTAGCCAAAGGCAAAAAAACAAGGAAAGGAACAACTCAGACCCTGCAGCATTTATATCGGTGACTCTTTTCGTCTGTTTGTCGATGGGAGCTCAAACCGGCAAGGAGCGGGGGCAGGAGTAGTGTTAATATCTCCTGATGGGAAGATATTGGAACAGTCTATTCGATTAGGGTTCAAGGCCTCAAACAATGAGGCAGAATACGAAGCATTGATTGCAGGGCTAAAGCTAGCAGTGGCAGCGGAAGCAGATGAGGTAATAATTTTTTGTGATTCACAACTTATAGTAAATCAGACAACAGGAGAGTTTGCAACCCGAGATGAGAGGATGTTGGCATACGCAAAGGAAGTCATCAGACTGGCAGCCTTGTTTCGCAACTGCCAACTTCTGCAAGTTAGCCGAGATGGTAACAACCACGCCGACGCATTGGCCAACTTGGCAAGTTTAATACAAACTGGAAAAACAAGGACAATAATGGTTGACTATTTGTCAAACCCGAGCATAGAACCACCGATCACAGAACAAGAAGCAATGTGTGTGGACTTAGGACTAAACTGGATGGATGCAATTGTTACATTCCTAAAAGAGGAAAAGCTGCCAAAAGACCATAAGGAAGCACACAAGGTCAGATTGAAGTCGACAAGCTTTAATCTGACAGTGGACGGACATCTCTACAGAAGGTCCTTCACTGGACCCCTTTTAAGGTGCGTACACCCTTTGCAAGTTGAAGATTTCCTATACGAAATTCATGAAGGGATTTGTGGAAGCTACGCTGGGGGCAGATCACTAGCTCACAAGGCCATTATCCAGGGGTATTGGTGGCCCTACATGCAAAAAGATATAGAAGCATACGTAAAGAAGTGTGAACAATGCCAAAGGTTCGCACCTTTGATACACCAGCCAGCTGCTGACCTGAACCTTGTATCCAGTCCATGGCCATTTGCCCATTGGGGCATGGATCTCATTGGGCAGTTGCCCCAAGCAACTAGGCAAAGGAAGTACTTGCTGGTAGCAACAGATTACTTCACGAAGTGGATAGAAGCATAACCTCTTGCCAAAATCCGAGATGTGGACGTCAAGAACTTCATATGGAGAAACATTATCATCAGATTTAGCATTCCAAGAGCAATAGTTGCCAACAACGGAATGCAGTTTGACAGCAAACTCATCAAGAACTTTTGTGCGAAATTCAAAATAAAGAATTACTTTTCAACACCAAGTTTTTTCCAAAGCAATGGGCAAGCAAAAGCATCCAACAAAGTAATTTTGGATGGGATAAAGAAGAGGCTACAGGCAGCAAAAGGGAAGTGGGTAGACAAGTTGCAATGTACTATGGGCATATCAGACTATGCCGAGAAGATCAACAGGGGAAACCCCCTTTGCCATGGCCTACGGCACAGAAGCAGTCATCCCACTAGAGATCGGCATCCCAGGGATCAGAACCCAAGGAGTAGAGAATGGGACTAATGACATACTTCTAGCCCGAGATCTGGATCTCTTAGAAGAAAGAAGGGAGAAAGCTGCAATTCAGCTCGCAACATACCAGCAGCAGCTTGTTAGAGCTTCCAATAAGAAGGTCAATCCAAGGAATTTTCAAGTCGGCGACCTAGTCCTTAGAAAAGTTGTTCGCAACAAGAAGCACCCCAGAGAGGGCAAGCTTGGCCCAAACTGGGAAGGACCCTACAGAATCACTTCGATATTGGGCAATGGAGCATACCGGCTTGAAGACAATGAGGGCAAAGCATTGCCAAGACCCTGGAACACTTGTAATTTAAAATTTTTCTATCATTAGATGTTCGTTGTTATTTTTTTGCCGACATCATCAATAAAATCTTAGCAGAATTTTTCAAGACTTGTGAATTGATAAAAGATACATCATGTTGTTTCTAATAATGAGAACCCAAGTGGAACTTAGGTTCACATTGGGGGCAGAGAGAAGGCACAAATGCTTAACACTTGTTGAAATTTGTAGCAATTTACAAGTTGAAGTTAAGCCAAGATAATTGTTTATCTTCACTTGTTAATTTGTAGCAATTTACAAATAGATCATTGTTTAGCACTTGTTATAACTTGAGAAAAGTTTATAAAGTTGAGATTAAACCAGTATACGTTTATCCTTGTTGAAATTTATAAACAACTTGCAGGACAGGTACTTGCCGAGGTAAATCGTCAGGTGTGTCACCCCGATAAGATTGCACAAAGAAGGAAGAGTACATAAGACATGCAAAATGTTCTAAGTATAGAATGAAGCACAAAGCAATAAAGAGAAGACAAGAAAAGAAAAATTATATTCATTCACCAAGAAAAGGGCACATCGGCACTACAAAAAGCATGCACTGTTCCAAAAGATAAAGAAGCAACAAAATACAAGTGAGCAAAAGAAAAACATGAAGCCAAGACTCCTCTCCATCAGTTGGTTGAATTTGAAGATCAAATGCTGGTTGAGAAGACATCCCAGCAGCCTTATCCGCCGCTATCTCGGCATCAATTTCTTGCAGAGTTTCTTCAACACTCTTGTCCACAGAGGAGACGTCGACAAGTGCATTCTCGGGAACAGCTTCTATGGGAACCTCATCACCTTCCTCATCCTGAGTCAAGTCTACGACTTGCTCATTCTGAGGAGGGGACTTGGCCCCATCAGCATCCTTGGGTTTTCTCACCAAGGCCTGATCCTCATCCTCATCATTTTCCTCGGATTCGGATTCGCCGACATCTTGATTTGGAGGTTGAAATGGAGGGAATGGTAGAGGAATGGCATCAGGTTTTCTTAATGGCGAGTCCTCTGGGACGTTAAGTTTCTTCAGAAGGGACATCCAAC